TCGTAGTTGTTTTCGGTTTAAGGAAATGCCCTACGTTTCTTGAATTAATGAAATTTCTATGTTAATGCATGTAAAAAGAGATATATGTAATTTAATAATTATAATTAATATTTATAATTGTTTTTATTTTCAAGTTAAATATATACCGCTTCAACGAATTAATGCCGAACACCTAAAAGAATTTGGAGGCAACAAAACTGTAAGCGATTCTGCAGAATCAAAACTGCTACCAAAGGACAATAAATATCGAAAACATTTATGCCAATTTTGTGGTTAGTATCCAGACTTTGTTTCGCCTTACATCACCCAACAAATTTTAAACTTGCTTTTATATTGGCAATTCGCAGAAACATGAATAACTCGAAACATGAAATTAAAAAAATATTCCATAAAAATTTTCAGACCTTTGAGACTTTCGAGTTATTCGTTTATCTATCTTTTATCTATTATCTTTTTTCAACACTTTTTAATAAATATGTATATGTCTTTATCTGAATTATCCAGGCAAATGCTTCGATCGGCGCTTCCATTTGCTAAAGCACGAGTATGGCGTGCATCGGCTCGAAATCGAACGGACGACTGGTGTTGATGCCACGACGCGTGCGAAATTGCCGGGTTTCGGGAGCGGCGGGAGCACGTCAACAAAGCACACAAAACTCAAATATTTGCGACAACGCAACGCGGTGCAGGCGGCACGCCAACAACGCTGCATCGAGGATCTCTCGCTGCTGGACGATCAGCAGCCAGGCCAAGATATAACAAGTGAATTTCAATGTGAAATCTGTTCGTCAGTATTCATGTTCAATTTCGAGTTAAAATATCATATGCGCACGCATAAGATCAGCACGCATACACAAACAGGGGCAGGGGGCAAGGAGGCAGCTGATAAGCGTACCGACACGCCTACTTCACTGGTATCAGCAAAATGCACGCAGCCGCTAGCAGCTGTTATCGCAACGCAGCGAGCACAAAAAGTGCTTGTAGTTGAGAACAAAGGAAAGGGCGAAGGCGATAATGCTGGCGACGGAGACGGCAAAGGAGGTGGCGAAAGCGATAGTGAAGCCAATGGCGAGCGGGAGACTGAAGCTGAGGATGATTCATTGAAGTATACGAATACTTTCTCAAATAATATGGATGCCACTTTGCCAGGCTTGCCTGGTAGCGTTGACTTGGACTTGATGGCATTGGTGGCGCCGCAAATGTCGCCACTGGATTCACTGGATGCTAGTCCGACCAGCAGCAACAACAGTTTCGACATCAACTACGATGATCAATTGTATTTGAATGAATTCGATTTGGGTCTGCTGGACTGTAGTGGAGGATTTGGTGGATTTTAGTTGGCATCAGCGTAGATTACATAATTAGATATTTGCTTTTTATTTTTGTTTGCTTGCCTATTTTGATTGAGTGGGAAAAAGGCACGTAAGCATTGTAAGCATTCGAGGAGAAAAGGTCAGAGACTGAGCGAAGTGAAAAGCAATACAAAGACAATTGCTGCAATATTTTTATATATATTTTTTCATTGAAACTAACACACACACACATACTTATTTAATACTAACAGTCATATTTGCTTAAACTTTACTTGACCACCAAAGTTTACATGAAATAGTTATCGACTTTCCAAACTCCCAGTATATAGAGTTTATGCGAATATCTCAAAAAGAATTTTAAAATAAAAACAAAAGATGTTTTCTAAAATACATCAAGAATATTAATTCTCACCTTCCACAATCTAACTCACATTTTTTGTTAGTTCAAAATTTTAAAATTTTTATATTTTTCGCAAAATTAATTTAAATAATTAAGTTATCAAGTTTTACATTTCATAAATACATATTTATTAAATTCTAGGCATATACTATTTACAAATTCCATAATATTCTTACTAATGACTGCCAATGTAAACTTGTTAGTATTTTTTCTAGTTAAGTTATTTTTTTTAACACATTTTACCCATTAAATATTTATTGGGCAAGTTTCTCCGGTACTTATTATAACTGTTTGTAAATCTTGCTTACAATTGTATCGTATTTTCGTATTTCTGTTTTTTATGCTCTTTTCAAATTTCTATATTTTTATGATTTCAAGTTCTTAATCTGCAATTAATCAAAGAACTAATGATAAAATCATTAAAAAATTAACAATAAAAAATGCGCTCTCAGCCAAAAAGTGTTTTTTTAAAAGTGGAAGAAGTTCAAGAAGACATAAATAAATTCAATAAACCAAACAAAACAAAAACTAGGCATTTCAATGTGAATTTTTTGTCTCTTGGGTTGGCTTTCACTGGAAACCCTTTTCGGAGTGTCGTAAACGCGCTTGTATAGCTTCTAGCCGTTTGCCATTGTTCGCTTGTCTTTCGTCGTTAAAGACCGTCCGAAAATTCCAGGTCTATCTGTATCATGCAATTATTCATATAAAATATGTAAATATAAAAATTTTTACTGCGCGATTTCTACAGAATCGTACAAAATCTTTGGCATAATCGAAATCATACTGGTTTCGTATTTTTATCGGTTTTGTTGCCAGGCAGCTCTCCCAAGACCAAGACCAAGGGTGAGGTCGAAACCGTTTGTTGAGCTCGGGAACTGCCATAGCTTAGGAGCTGGTGCGTAAGCGAGATCAGGAAAGGTAAAAGAGAGAATTTTAGAACTCTCTGGAAAGGCATTTCTTCAACCCGCGCAACCGGAAGGCTACACAAAGTCCAGGAAATGGAAGAGACTAAATTAGCACTTTCTTTCTAACTTTCAAACGCAGCCAACACTAATTGCAGAGAACCGGCCCAGAATCCAGAGAGATCAGTACGATTCGTCGCAAGTCCCAAAGCGGCTACAGCTGAGGGAAAGCTTCTATTACGCTATACTTCATAAGAAACAGTCTCACTCTATTACATATACATATGTTCCAAAGATGTGGAAAGAGCGCGAGCAATCTCTAGCCCAATGATTGTCGGCAGCCTCTGGTAGCATGAAAATTTTGCCAGACATTAGGGAAATGAGGTGTACCTATTTGAAAAGCAACCATTTATAACCCCAAGACCGACCGATATATGGAAAAACCTGGTTCTGTCGAAGAAAGTTAATCCCGTGGAAGTAGCTGGATAACCCTAAGATTGATATACACCATGAAAGTGCACCCGACGGTAACATATAGAGTGGTAGCAGCTTTAAGCGCCTCAAATGTGGAAAGGTACCTCCAGACCGGCACCAAATGGTTCGGAAGTTCCAGAAAGCATACATTTAGGCGTCTGTGGGTCCAAACTTATGATGTCGATGCCAATGGAAAGGTACCCGAGAATATTCCTAGCGGAGATGAACTATCACAATGAGATAATTGACATCCTAAATGAAAGCCAAGACTCCTTAAACTTTCAAAGTCACATCATCGTAGGACTTCGGGTGCATAGAGACACCTATTTTGCTTATTGCAAAAGGGGGATTTCGAAAACCAGTTCTTATATACAATCCATGCACCATGCAAAGGTTCTGCAAGACTTAGTGAGTCCCGCTAATGACTTTCAGTAATTATGGATACAAGGCCATAAACGCATAGAAGGGAATTATATAGCAGGCAGACTATCCAAGAGGTGAACGAATGGAATCAAAGAGGAGCTCAGAAACAACTACAGAATAGCACTTTGGCATACTTGGAAGAAGGAGTTTAAAGTGATTCTAATTCATTTTCCTAAAAAGGAAATCAAGAATTTCCCTTTTGGTTGTTGTTGTTTCCGACAGGGTGGGTGTATGATGTATTTTGGAATGAATTTCCGTCATCCCTTGTCAAATTTGGTTTGGAGACACACCGGTTGATTTATTTCGAAAGCAAGAATCATCACTTTTATTCTTAAAGGACACTGTAGACTGAAGGGCCCGGTTATCTGCACGAACGAGGTAACTCTGAATCTTCTGTGACTCGGCCAATAGACAAGAAAGTCTAGAGTATAGATGAATGCGGTGCTATTTACAGCAGAGCAAAGAAATCTAGGCCTCATGAGATCACAGAACGAGCACATTTAAAATTTACTTAAGGTTTAACAGGAAAACCGTGAAGAAAAGAGATTACAATAGATTCCTAGATCGTGGTGGTACCTTATATTAATATCTATCTACCTAATGGCAAGCTTGACATACATTTCTTTCTTTCTTTTATGTGCGTTCGAAGTGTCTGTAATTGTCCCATATTGCACTGTTGCCACTCTCTTCTCTTCGAAAAATTATTTCAAATTATTTAAGCTTTTATTTAGGCAGACTTGTTTTTAACAAAACCATCAGTATAAATTCAATCAACTGGTGCTTAACGGACTTTTATTTGAATTTCAAAATTAAGTATTTCTTATCGGAGGCACGAACCTACAAAAACTCACTCAATTTTATTCAGCTGTCGAGTTGTGTTGTCTCTTTCCCCCTGTATTGTTTGGTGGAAAGATTCAACAAGTGGCTAAATAAAAGAGCGCGGCCATATTGATGAAAATTCATTATTATGAAAGTTTTGAAAACGATAAAGTTATATTTTGACTACTTGTGTATAAAACTATTTCTCGCCGAATGCAAGTTGTTTTTTTGTAATCTCTTAGCCGGATCTACATAGCATAAAAATGTAAGAAAGTGGTTTGAAATTTTTATTTCTAAGTATAAATGCCACACGTACGTTTACGGATACACATGTTAGGGAGGTCCGCCTTTATTCAACCCATACTATCAAATGGAGACTCCATTTGCACATTCCCAGAGTTTAGATATATTTTAGTACTATCTACTAAATTAGTAAGTATTTTTGCCATCCATACAATATCAATTTTCGCAGTGTTGCATTACATACGTACTTACTGTTAGACTAATAGCTTAAAAGTTACATAAGAATTGTTTTTTAAATTTAGAAATGCAACATAAAATTTCCACATAAAAAATCTCCAAACAAATAAACCAAAATTACACCACTTCTGGCAACCTCGAAACTTATTTCCACTCATTTGGTGTGAAAGAGACAACACTAGTCCAACTCTTATTAGCCAAATGCACAGCATTTGCAGCGGCTGCTATAGCGAAGATGTGCCACTCAAACTAGTTTTAGTTCAGTTTTCTTCATTCAACGAGCAAGTTTGGTAGAAAGCGTTGGTTGGCGCATTTATTAGACCAGCACGCTAGTGTGTCGTCGTCGTAGTTATTATCGCGGTCACTGTGCTAGTAAACGAAATTAAGGCAATTGGCACTTGGATAAATGTGTGGAGTGCTAGGGCTCGTGCGGTTGAGTTATTTCATAACAATTAAAAAAAAACGCATGAATTCTACTATTTTATGAAATATGCAACAAAAGTTTACGAGCCGATAAGTTTCTCACAAAGTAAATGCAAACTTTCTGCAAGGAAAGTTTAAAAGCATTTACCTACTTGCAGCAAGGAAAAAAAAGACGAAATTTTCTTCACATACATATATTTCTTGTATAGTTGTTTATTGTTACGTGAATGCGTTGCGTTTTGTAGGTGTTTGCGTGTAAAAGAATGCGGGTCGTGCACAAATACATGCATGCATGCATGAGTATATGACTGTATTTGTGTTGAATTCGATGAGTGTGGTTTGAGTCATACCTGAAAAAATAGTCGAAGAAAAAACAAAAAGTCACAAAAGCAGCAGCAGATTTTGTAGTAAATCGAGTAAACAAAAAAATAATTGCAGTGTGCAATACGAACTTTTTTGCAGAATTTAAATAAATTATTGAACAAGTCGAAAATTAAAAGAAATTAATTACAAAAGAATTAAGTTAGCAAACACCGGAAGTGGCGAAGCCGTTAAGAAAACGTAATAAATGTGTGTTTGTTTGTGGGAAAACAAAACTGAGTGGAATACTTGGTTGCAGCAACGCAGTTTCCTGCCTATTCTCATATCTTTGTTGGTGTAGGTCAATAACTTGCTAAGGCGTAAAGATACTCGAATTCAGAAGATAATGCGAAAGTAGCAGAGGCACAAAGAAAGTTCAGTAGCAACAGCAAAATTGGCTTAATTCGACTTATCAAACGATCACTAATTGAAGCAGTTATATTTAAATATTAGTGACATAGAATAGTGAAGAAAATAAGTAAACATTAGCTATTCCAACCAGCACAACAACAATACGGCAATCGTAGCCGGGTGCACAGCCAGAAAAGATAACAAAGGCAAATACCTAGTGGAGGAAGTAGAAGGCAGCGTAGAAAAAGTGGTAGCAAACAGCAAAACCAACGAGTTGTTTACACGCACACAAATGCATTTGTTGTACATACATACAAACATAAGTACATATTTCTTTTTCCACTTTACTCGCATTCTCTACTTGGCTGTTGGCTGTTGGCTGTCTGGACAAGACGAATGAATACCACCTTTCCGGTTTGGTTGGCAGCAGAAGTGTTTGGAAGCGTGTGCAGGCAAAAAGCAGGTTTTCGAACAGTGCAAGGCGCAGTGCAAAAGATAATAAAAGTACATAAATAAAAACTAAAAAAATTACCTGAAAATAAAAATTGAGAGATCAAATGTAACGGGCAGCGAGTAGCTGTCGCTGTTTTGTGAGAAAGAATTGCGCTGGAAATACAAGAAAATTAAATTATAACAATTTAACAATTGAGTGTAAGAAAATTAATAAATTAAAAAAATAGCTAAAATGCGTAAATAACGCACTGCCTATTGAACGTGTGTTTGTAGTGCAGCAGATTCGAGTGCAACAAAATAATTAACTAAAATTGAATAAAAACAAAAAAAAAACGTCAAGCTGTAACTGATCTACGCATTTGCTTGCAAACTTAAAAAACCAACGAAAGTTTTTAACCAAAAGTGTTTTGTCGCAATTGTGTGCCCGCAAAGTTGTTCAACGAATTTGCACAGTTTCCTCGAGTCGGTTTATTTAATTTTTCTTGTGCCACCACAAGACCACAACAACATCTCTACTTCAATGCAAAGCCACTCGCAGGTCGCACCACAACACTTTGTAGCAGTAAAATTAAGCAAATAACAAAAATAAAAAAAAGGCAGACATTGTAAAAACTTCTGACTCTCGTCCGCAAGCTGCAGCAGCAGCAACTACTTTTGGACATAAGCACAATTGTTAGCCGGAAATGCCAGCGTGCTAAGTAACTTGCAACTCGTCAACTCCTTTGTGTGCTTTTTGGCTTGGCTACTATTGGATGCAATTACTCAGTCAGTCACTCACTTACCCAGCCAGTCCTTTCACATTGCCACAGTGCGATTTTGTGCGTTCTTGGAACTTTGAGTCATACGATTTTACCCCCCCGCAATTATTTATGTGCACTCGTTTTGTTGGTTGGGGCATAATAAATAAACGCGACAACTACATACTACATACATACATACGTAACGGAAGCTGCAGCATTTGCAACATTTCTTCATCCTCTGGATAAATAGTGGACTGCTTTTAACGCAGCAATTCCACTTTGTATATTTTCTGTCCCCAAATTTTTAATGGAATAATTATGTCATGGGATCGTGTACGCGACGACACTTTATGCTGTCAACATGCCTGCTGCAAATGGTGAGTAGCTTCTTATTAAAAAAGAAACACACACATGTTTTATGAGCATTTATTGTAGGTCAATTTTAATGTATGATACATTAGGCTGGGTCACTAGTCAGCGTTCGTAGTAGATACGTACATACCTTTGTAATTAACTGCGAGGGAAGTTTGAAGTATATATCGCACACCTATATAGATCTAAAGTGCGATCAACTCAAAAAAAAAAGGACAGTTTTTTTGGCCTAAATCAATGCATAGGACTTACCTCCAATGAATACAAATATTTTGTTCTACATGATTATATTCACTAACTAAAAAACTACTGTTCTTCCTGTTTTTGTATTAATTGTGTTGCATATGGACGATCCACAGCCATGTATTTTTTATCGTATAAGTATGTATTTATAATTTTTTTTTTTTAGAAAATAAATATACAATATGTACCTTTTACTCTTCATCGATATTAAAACAAGGCTCTTAAACAATGCTTCGCTTACATATACATATACTAAGTGTTACCCCTGAGGATATTATTGTAAGGTTTCCACTTATTTTCGGTTCTACAAAATTTAACTATTTAGCAAATGAAAGCTATTTTTGCGAATTTTGATCCAAAAATATTTTCGAAGAGGGTTGCCACGTTTTTCTTGTAATATCATTTTTTTATTAATTTCAATTTCATAAGTCTGAGCCGGTAAAGTTTAGGCTGAGTTATTCAATTTTGTTTTTTTAAACCAGTCTTCGAAAAAAGTTCAAAATAAAACATCAAAAATCTCATTATTATCATTCCGTTGAAATTTTT